GGGGGGGGGGGGGGGGGGGGGGGGGGGGGGGGGGGGGGGACCAAACAGAGCAGCCCCCATAAGCCCCTCACAGTCCCATTGACAAATGACTTTTTTTGAAAATGGCCGTCAATGAAAAAGTTGTGTAAGGTCTGAATCTGAATTCCATGATCAACTCTGATTCTTTCTGATATGACATCATATACGCGGTTGCCCAGGGGCACTTAACACTCATACTCCAGTCCTGCATGTACCTGTGCCATGTACCTGTGCTATGTACCTGTGCTAATGGGCTGTTAACCTGATCCCTGCCGGGACATGCAGGTGGACTGTTAACATGATCCCTACCAGTGACACACTGTTAGATTGTTAACCTGATCCCTACCAGTGACACACTGTTAGATTTTTAACCTGATCTCTGCCTAGAATATGCTGTTGGACTGCTAACATGATCCCTGCTGGGAATATGCTGTTGGACCTTAGGGAATAGAGCTTGGCCTCAGTATTTCCTGGACTTTTATCCAGCTCGAATACTGGCTAAAAACCCAGTCACTTCGGGTCAGAAGTAATTTGTTTAAATCCAAGAATATATTCTTGACGTGTTAAATACATAAAATGTGTGGCGTTTCTTCAAAGATAATGAAATGTTCCTTTTATAATTAATGCTTTAAAGAGAAGTAGCAGAGAAGTCTTTTCAACGGGGCTTATCATTCCAACAGCCCTTAGACTTTATAGTCAATAAAGAACTGGCCTTTAACGCAATTAAACATTGTTGCAATTCCCAGAAAGGGAAATAAACAGTAAAATGAGAGGGAGAGAGACAATCCAGGCCACAGAAAGTGACACGCTTAAAGCCACCCCCTTTCTACTTCAGCTAACATGCAGAAACGTAAGTAGGCACATTGGGAAGCTGTACCTAAAAGAGTGCACACAGAAAACAAATGAGGTGCGTCTGGCAATTATTTCGTAAAGATTTATTTGGCCTACAGCATAAATTAGGTGTATACATCAGCGAAAAGGTTACAGACATCACATTTTCAAAATGGCGGCCTCTTACAGCGGGCAGCAGATTAATTCATTAATCACGGTCAATGTGCAGGTGACTGAATTGACAGCAGTCAGGAAAACTGGTAGTGTTTCACTAACATAGATTTATTCACACAAAATTTGCAGGAAAATGAACATTGTTAATGATTCAGATTCATTGGTTAGAATACAGAAGCACATATACTCACACACAATACTAATTTGGATGAAACTCCACAGCGCCTCCTAGGGAAAAAGTCATGAAACTGCAGTCTACACTCTCATCCAAAGTATACTTCACAGCATGCGGTCATAATACCCATAGTGTGTCAAACTACAGTTGGCTGATACTGGTTCTGTCCTGTTTTCAGCAACAAGACAATAAAACAGAGAATGAACCCTGAACATCATCTGCTTGCTGGTTTTGCCATTTCAGCTTTTCATCAAAGAGGCTCAAGAAACATAAATAAAACCAAAGCGGATTAATTACCTGATCTGACTCACTACTTACGAGCCCAGTAACACATCACCCTTCTGTTCTCCCGAGGAGGAGAGCAGATAACAGGAAAGATATGGCTCTCCGCCTGACTCGGACGCAAACTGGAATCGCTATTTCCCATATCCCAACGTATCACATATCCCAACATGTGACATATCCCAACGTATCACATATCCCAACATGTGACATATTGCAACGTATCACATATCCCAACATGTGACATATCCCAACATATCACATATCCCAACATGTGACATATCCCAACGTATCACATATCCCAACATGTGACATATCCCAACGTATCACATATCCCAACGTATCACATATCCCAACATGTGACATATCCAGGTGAGAGCGGAGCTTGGGGTCCAAGTGCAGGCCCTGGATCTAGGCATAGGCAAACTAAACAGATACTGCCTAGCTGCGGCCATTCGGTATAAGAGGGCCCTATCAGAGAAGGTATCAAGGCGGCTCCCAAAATTGGCAAAATCTTCCAGCACGGAGTCCCCCCCCACCACACCACCACCACGACCACCACCATCACCAAAATTCAGATTCGGTCCTGAGTCCAAGCACTGGGTCATCCATTTTTCATGCACCCCTGGCGCATTGCAGAGAGTTTGGGCCTTGCTCAACAGGCTTTGAGAGTGAGGTTTCAGAGAATGACACCATCAGGCATGCATGACCTGCCCCGGAGTCTCCCGGACTGAGATGTACCGGATCATCAAATGCTCACCGCACGCTGAGCGCACCCCCACTGTCTGTGTGACCCTCTTACCCCCACAGATGGTGAGCGCCTCACCTGCCAGATCCGAGAGGCCGATAACCATCCGTGAAGACATCCCTGTATCGGAACTCCCCCTCAACAGCAAGCTTTCTGCATTGTTTATATGGATCATGAATAAACAAACAGGCAGACTGGGCTTTCCCATCCAGCTCAGCGAGTGTCACGACATCGCTTTAGCGCGACTCCGGAGCTGGCCCGCTGGACTCGTTACAGAGTAATGAGGAGCCCGTCGGCACCACTTTCCCATCCTCCGTAGAGCTCCGAAAACGGCGGAACGTCTTTATGAGATGCTGCCTATTTGAGTAGCTGCTGTCTGTGCATTCAGGCGAACATCAACAGGATCTTGCTGCATTTAGGAGGTTCTTCCTGAAGTGGCTCTGGGAAGTATACAGCCACAGCAGAGGCATTTACCACAACTCAAACAGAGCTTTCGCGCCCCTCTGTTGGCCACAAACAGTCACTACACCAAATATTAAATACACACTGTGTTCCTCATCTGGGTGATGCTGAAGCAGCATGCTCTGCTAGCCAGCTAGCTACAATCTTCTGATGCTACTCACTAGCTAACATTAATGATCATATGCCCTGTTCCTTCACAACAGGGATATGTGTATATAAAAAAAGTGATCTGTTCGTCGACCAAATTTTGTACATGAACCAATGCATTTTTTTCACAAAATTTTTGGTCGCAAACCAAATTGTTCATAGACCTCAGCATTTGTGAACCGCAGGCACCACTGTAATTTGATTTTAAAAATGTCCCTCCAAAACCTTCAAACAGAGTTCAACGACACAAACAAGACCTTCCAGAGAGTTTTGAGCCCCCCCCCCCCTCCCAGAGCCTGAATAGGTCATGTGACTCACACCCATCTCACGTGGGAGTACTATAATATCAAGACCGCAGATATATGCAACCACTTGCTTTCACTTACTGTAAACTGCCATTAGTTTTCTGTGTGTGTATTCAAAGAAGAGAAGAATCTATCTGGAAAAAAACCCAAACCCTTTAGGGAGAACAAGCACTTCACTGTGAGACTAAGGTTTTTTCATTGGTCTCCATTAATTTCAGAGCGGAGATAGTCTTCTAAGAGTTCCAGAACCTTCTCCAAATGCAGGCGGCTGCTTAAAGTTTGTCGAGCATTTTCAGATTTTCACATTAACCAAAACATGGCAGTACAAAAAGTTCAGAAGGGGAAAAATAAAATACATGGAGATATTATTGCACCTGGAAACAGCCAATGTCTAAAAACTAGCTTACTGGGATCTGGACTTGTGTCCAGGAGTTTATAGGGTCAGATTCCATGGCAAGCAGAGTAGTCTTTTATAGCTGGTGGGCTCTTGTGCAAGGCCTTTAACCCCAACTACTCCTGCAGTACACTGGTAGACCCTGCTCTCCTCACCATTATGCAGTTTTGGACAAAGGCTTCTGCACCACAAAGGGGGCTGTTTTTATCTTTTAGGATGGAAAGAAGGATGAATACATGTGGCATGCATTATGCCCAGAAATGGTTATAAATCCAAAACAAAAACCTCTAAACACGCTGCCCTCTTCTGTGGTCTCTGGAAGAAGGAGGAACACAGCGAGC